TGAATATCTATCAATTATAAAGAATCGAGATCAACATATTTGAATACACTTTACAAGTAATCAAATTCTCTCCAAATCTTTTTTTTTCTTCATTCTTCAAATTTTAGTTTAGTATTATTAATCTTGTTTAAATTATGTTAAATTTATAACATGTAGTCAGCACAAAAAGCTTTAATCTAAGTTATTAAATAAATGGAAATAACATCCATCTTAATAACGGTATGTATTACTTAGTAAAAATATTATTACTTATAACAACCACCATCATATTCAGAAAAAAAATACTAATAAATTATTAAAACGTATTCATTGTGGAAATCACGGACTACTAACGATTTTTATTTCTTATATTAATATTTTTATGCATTCTAATTTTTATGCATACTAACATTTACATTTGGCAAAAACCTTTTATTTATACATATTAACATTTAAATTATACAACTAATTTTAATTTATATATATTAACATTATATTTATATATGTCCATGTTTATTTATATTTTAGACATTCTTCATATTTTTATATAAACATGCACTAATATTTATTTATGTTTCTAATTAGTTAAGTTATACCAAGTAAAGTTATGTGTTAGTCTTATTAAAAGATTTATAAAATAAATATACATATACATAATATATATATATATATATATATATATATATATATATATTTTTGTATGTGTGTGCAATGAGTATAAAAAGTAAAAACAACGACTGTATTTTTTTACTATAAATAAACATTATTACCCTGCATATTTTACCTACAACAAATATTTCTCTCTTCTATAAAAAAAATTAATTTCAAGAAATCAAGCTTCAAGATGATTCATCATTTTGTGATAATCATGACTATATTAGTCATGTTACTTTTCATACTAATCCTTAACATCGAAGATAATATGGAATTTCATCTACTTTTAGGCTTCTATGCAATGTTAGCTTTACCTCTTCTTTTTCATGTAATATTTATTGAAATAAATGGGTTTTAAGTTTCATTTTTTGTTTTCATTAAAATTTATAGTTATAATATGTCCAACATTGCAAAGCTCGAGTTTGCAGC